GAGACCTGTCACTCCCTCTGGCCCAAGCCCACTGCTGCCACCAGGACTCTGTGTGACATTTGACAAACTGTCACCAGTTTTATTTATCTTTCTGTCATCTACTGGTTTGCAGGGAGTACTGCTTGATGGTGGGACCCGAGGCTCTTCCAGATCCAACTGGCTTAACTGTAAGGACATATCGAGGGTACTGGCTTCTATGCTGGATCGTTTTGAGGTCATTCCCTGAGAATCAGTATTAGAGTCACTCTGAAGCCTTCTCAGTATCATGCCATCTGCACCTTTCACTCGCAACACTTGCAACACGCATGGTCGTCCATAGAATGTAATGTATAGAAAGTTGCCTGGCAAAACAATCTTGTCATCTAGAAAATAATTTATCGAATATATATATTAGCACAAGTTTTCACCCATTTAATGTTTAAATAGCATTTGTTTTATCAATTAACAAATCTACCTGACTGAAAAGACTAAATCAAAGAAGGCAGTATTAATAAAATAACTGCCATGAAAAATAAAGGCCCTAATATTCCCCTAATAAGGGAGCACTATCTGGAGATCAAAGAAAAACAAGATGATTCTCTGAAATGGGGAAGATTCTATCAACTACATTAACAAATAGCCAGACAATCTATCCTAATATATAAAAAGCCTGGGTCGTAATGACCGGTCACAACTGAGGCTTGACCAACAAGGCTTGACCAACCGGAAATCAGTCCTGCAGTCAGTGCTGGGTTGCCATGGCAACCAGTGCTGGTCGCAGATGCCCCAGCACTGATTGCTGAGGGGGCTGTGAGTCAGGGCCAGAGAGAGGCCTGAAGAGAGAAGTAGGGACTGATCCATTGCCTCTGTGGCAGCTTTTGATCAGCACTTGCCTCTCTCTTTCACTCCCAGTCTGGCCAGCAGCCAATGCCTCCATTTCTCTCCAGGCTTCCACGGGGACTGCTGATCAGCCCGCCTTTCTGATCAGGTCCCATTGATAGGCCCAGAGACGCTGACTGGCATAGGAACCAGCCAATCAGAACAGAATCTGGGTGCTATGAGGAACGAATGGCTGCCTAAGAGGCAGAGATTTTGACGTTGATTGACATAGGAACCGACCAATCAGAACCAAATGTGGGTGCTGTAAAGAACCAATTGCTGTCTAGGAGGCAGAGCTTTTGATGCTGACATAGGAACCAACCAATCAGAACCAAATTGGCCAGCAGAGGAGAGCAGTTTGGAGCGAGATAAGGCCGGCAGTGGAGGGCAGTTGGGGGCAAGATCAGGCTGACAGGGGAGGGCTGTTGGGGCGAGATCAGGCCAGCAGAAGAGGGCAGTTGGGGCAACTGGGCTTGCAGAAGAGGGCAGTTGGGGGCGAGATCAGGCTGGCAGGTAGGGCCATTGGGGGTGAGATCAGGCCGGCAGGGGAGGTCAGTTAGGGGTGATCAGGCAGGCAGGCAGAGAGGGTAGGGGCGATCAGGCAGGCAGGCAGGTGAGCAGTTAGGAGCCAGCGGTCCCACAGGGATTGGGCCTAAACTGGCAGTCGGACATCCCCAAGGGGTCCCCAATTGGAGAGGTTACAGGCTGGGCTGAGGGAACCCCTCCCCCTGTGCACAAATTTCGTGCACCAGCCCACTAGTGTTTGATAATAAACTAACCCAAAATGGCACACTTAAACCAACAAAACAATATAACATTTATCATTGGAAAGAGCAAGAGTTCAAGGATTCAAAGTCTCGGTTCTCCCAAGGACTTTGTCCACAGACACGCTGTATAGTCTCTCTGTTGCTCAACTGCCAATCAATTAACTGGGGAAAAGAATCCCACATCCCTATCTTAATAAGACATTAATTCATTGAGGAGAATAGTCTCTATGCTGTTTTGAAGAAAACTATCAGTAGACAACACTTCAAAGACACATTACCGTATATGCTGCTGCCTTGCTTCTTAAAATTTAAAAAAAATATTTAAAATATTTCTCACCTAGTTTTCTCAGAAGACAATCAGCCAATTGTTCTTTATTAATATCCACATTTTTGTCACTGTAAAGGTTTGGGGTGGGGAAAATAGAAATAAACATTAAGTACACCAGAAATTTAAATCTAATATAACACATACATAGTTGTAATGCAGACCTAATGAAAAGCATAATTAGTTTACAACCTGGAAATGATCTACACAATTTTAGAATGACTTACAAATTTCAGCTAGTTCTTAAGGCCATAAAAATCTCATTTATAGTTTGATGTCCTAGTGGCATAAATCAATGTTCTTCAAATATAGGGTACTTCCCACAAGTGGATCATAATCATTTGTCAATCCTACTCAGCATTTTTTTAATAGAATACAAATGTCAGAATATATCAAACATAGAAAGGTTAAATATTGCTTTGTAAGACATTATTACACACAAACATCTATACACTTGTTCTACACAAGTACATGTTGCATATGTGTACTCTATGTATATATGATAGATGTGTATGTACAATGAACTACAATGAAAAATGTTTATTCTTTGTCAGTCAGAAACACTTGAAATGCTGACCATAATTAACCCCTTACCAAACTTGCCTAGCTTGGTGAAGGGCTTTTATTAATAACTTAATGTATTTCCTTTGTATAATTTATAAATTATCTTCCAGGAAAAATAAACCCTATATTGTACTTTATCTGAAGAGGTAGAAATAAGTAAAAGGAGAGTGGTACAATGAAAGTTTATTCTAGAGAAAGGGCATGCCTAAGAAAAATGGGACCCCTTTTTTGACTGATAACTATGTCTGCCAGGAAGAACACTTGTTTGAGTACAGGAAGCAGGCAACCCTAAAAATCATGGCACTTGTACAGAACCATGTCCTTGGAGAAGATGTGCATTTTTCCTCCTTCTCCATTTGTAAGCAGCCCACGTGACCTTCGGTTGTGAACTCTGCCAGACATCAGTGGACCCTTCCACTGATCGAGCCCAGTGAAAGCTGTTTTAGCAGGCTTTTCTGGGTCAGATCTAAGCCATGTCCTCAACTTACTCAGTAACAAAAAAAATACAGTTGATCTTCATTATTTACAGTTTCCATATATGCAAATTCACCTACTTGCTAAAATTTATTTGTAACCCCAAAACCAGTACTAGCAGAGGATTCCCAGTCATTCATGGATGTGCGTAAAGTAGGCAAAAAATCTGAGTCGCACGACTTCTTCTTTCAACTCTCATCACAGATGACCAGAGGATGGCAACTGGAGATGATGGGGAACAGTGCAATGTATAGTGAAAGTTCCAGCTCTGGGACCTCACTCTGGCAGCTGTTAGTGACATGGCCTCACTTCTGAACTACCTCTTCTCTTTTGTAAAATAAAGAAAATAGGATATGCCAGAGTGAGTTGTTTTAAGGATTTAATATTATAACCTATATAAAATATATATACTTGCATATTTATATCTATATATGTTAAATACACACACACACACATATACTCCTAGGAGCAATGGTTCAGTATTTGCTAATTCAGTTTTGGGGACAATTTTGTAGGACACAATACCACAAATAATGAGAATCGACTGTGTGTTCATGTGAGAAAGAGAAATACAAGGAGAAAATTTAATGAATCAAATGTATATGTAAACTAAAGAGGAAATTATATGTATCCAAAATTCTTAAACTTACTTGTTACTAGAACTCTGAACCTAGTTATACTTAAATTGTTTCCATTTATTAAAGTCTGAATAGAAGATATTTATAATATGTACAACAGCATAAACAACCAATTTTGCTTTTATAAATGAATAGGTGCAAATAAAATCATTTCCACTAGAAGGAGCTCTAAACTTACTAATGAAATGTTTTAGCTACAGCACAACAGAAGGATTTAAGCAGCACTTTAAAATTAATGATTTTTCTTACTGGAAATTTTCTTGTCTAAGCTCTTCTTGCTGCCACGTTTAAAACAAAAGATTTTTTTTAAAATAAAAAGTTTAAAACCAAGCTTCCATGGAAAACCTATATATTCCCTCCATAACAGGAAATCATTATCACCAAAGAGTGCTGTGCCCTCAAGAGTGATCAACAAAACTCCAGTCAAATGAGTGCTGTGCCTGCAGCCCTGTTTGAAGTCAGTCTGGAGAAGAATCCTGTGCAATCCGAGCAGTAGCTCTAACCAACCTACACAAGAGCGGGCAAGTTCCTGCCTTCTCACTGAGCCCATTTCCTCATCTGTGAAAAGAGGTGGGTAAAGATAACTTGCAGGATGTTTAGAAGGTTAAATGGGGGAAAAAGGGAAAGATGTGTGCATGCACATGTATGTGCTAGTACACAGCTGGTGCTCAACACATGTTATATTTCTTTTCCTTTCTGCTTTTCATCATTTGTTAAATGTTTGTTAAGTGCTTTGAAAACATTTGTCTGTTTTTAAAGAAAAAAATATGCCAAAGCTCAGGCTTGGCATCTATAAAAGTAGCAAAAGAGAAGAAAATATTTTAAAATCAAGCTAGATTGGAAAATGTTCTGTGATTCTTACATTAATATAAACATCAGTCCCCAACTGTTACTAGGGTCATATTAAAATTTCAAAAGATGCTTTTTAAAAACAAATTTCGATAAGATTTTTACATGCAAACTGAATCAAAATCCTATTAGATACAGAATACCTAAGAGGATAGGAGATATGCTTTAATTATATTGATATGCTGCTTCAAACAACTAGACTTTGGTGAGGGGATATTTAAAAATCTGATAGAAATAACTCTCTCACTAGATTGAATAATCAATGAGTTAAAATATACAATCAGCCCAGCTGGAATAGCTCAGTGGTTGAGCATCGACCTACGAACCAGGAGGTCATGGTTCGAGCCCCAGTCAGGACACAGGTGAGCTCGATCACCCAGTGTGGTGTGCAGAAGGCAGCTGACCAATGATTCTCTCGCATCATTGATGTTTCTATCTCTCTGTTTCCCTCTCCCTTCCTCTCTGAAATCAATAAAAATATATTTTACATACACACACACACACACACACACAATCAGGTACTTTGCTTGGGCAGCCTTAATTAAAATTTATTTCTTGCCTACTCACAGTAGCCTACTCCCTTCTTTATAGCTGTAAAAAAGACAAGAAGCCCTGAGTAGTATACTGCAGACCAAGATGAAAGACATAGTTAAATACCCATTAGCAATAATTCTCTCACCTAAAGTGTCACGGCACACTCTAATCAGAGGAACGAGAGAGTCCCTAGCCCTAAGTTACATAGCACTCGTCTAGCTAGCACTGTGTAATACAGGAGGCAACTAGCCAGTCACATGTGGCCAGTCCAAACTGAGATGTGCTATAACTATAACACACTAGTACACACTGGATTTTGAAGACTTAGTTTAAAAAACAGATATGAAAAATATCTTATTAATAGTTTTTTATAGTTATAAGACTTTACTTACTTTAATTAAATAAAATATATAATAATAATCAATTTCTTTACTTTTTAAATGTGATTACTAGAAAAGGCAAAATTACATATGTGGTTCACACATGTGACTTTCATTATATTTCTGGTAGGCAACACTGATTCAGTCACCAAAGAAAAGAGCCAAACCTGAGCGCCACGTCCATTTCCTCAGCCTGTATCACAGCACCCAAAAGAGGCTGGACATGGATGGCATCACCAACTCTGACACCCATATTCTTCTGTGCTGTGTCACTCAGGCCAACCTTGCCTCCAGGAAATCCTGATACAGGCCAGGCCACACAGACCTGCCAGGAGAGATAATAAACATTCACAGAATATCAGTAATTAAAAAAAAAAAAAAAAAGAATATCAGTAATTTATAAAGCAGAAAATTAAGCATAGCCAAGTACATAGATCTGCCAACTCCCAAAGGGGTTACAATCTGACACAAGTTACAAAAAAAAAGTTTTATACATATTACATTTTTTGCAAAGATCAGGAATGACCCCACAGTGAAAATGGTGAAAGATCTGAGAGGTGGGGTTAGAAAAAGAGACCAAGGTGAGAAGAAAATGAGATAAAATCCAGAAGGCAAGCTGACTATCAGGTAACCCAGCCTAGAGCATAAACTACACCCAAGAAATAGTAAGGACCCCAGCACCAGAGTTCCAGTGAACATGGACCTCATCAGACAAATGTTAAGCTCCAGACAGAGGCTGAGTTCATATATTTAGTGCCTTCTCGTCCACAAGACACAGTAAAGTTTTTAAAAATATAAGCCCAGAACTATGAAAAGAATGGGAGGCGTGATACCAACAGATAAGAGATTTCAAAACCTTTCCAGAGAGCCCTAGTGGATGAGAGAACACTGAGTAGTGAAGTAGAGAAGATATGGCAGAGGTAGAGGCAGGGGCCGGCAGCAGAGAAGAAAGCCAAGCTGCTAAAAACACCAACAAGGAGAAACACAGCTGAAACCAGGGAGGGTAATCAAATGTTGTATAAAAAAGAGATGACTTCAAACCCCACAAGAGTATTTCTGTAGAGAAAAGTAACAGACTGGGAAGGCCTCCCAAGGAAAGGTCTCTCTCTCCATTATGACATTTAGGACTATATTCCCTCTGTAATCATAGACACCAAAGGAGGGAAAAGTTTACATTGGTGTGAGGGTCTTTAAAATATAGTTTTTCATTTTTCCCTGCTTGTGCTGAAAATTACAATTTAAAAAAAAAAAAAAAACCCTCAAATCTTTCCAAACTAAGTAAATGATAAGGACTCTTACCTCTTGTTTTCCATGTAAACTGGTAAGCAGCACTGGTCGGCCAATAACTATATTTGCAGACTTCATAGTGCCAAGTCCGAGTTGAGCAAGGGAATTCTGGAACTTTTTAGGAACTCTGTCATCTACCAAGAAGCAAAAAAAAATGATTTTGTACTATTTTGTCACTGAAGTTAAGGCATGCTTTCTTTTGAAGGAAATAAAAATCCTTTATCCACATAACCACATGAATACACTTCTGTACCCTGAAGAAACCACTGTAGCAACCCTTACTTTAACAAATAAACTTAAAACCAAATCTTTGAGGATCCAGACAATATGAGTGCTAAAAATTAAAAATTAAAAAGTTGTTTTATGGAGTAGGTATTAGTTTTCATTATTTAAAAAAGAAGTCTTGTGGGGAGAAACCAAGATGGCGGCATAGGTAAACACCGGAGTTTGCTGCCTTGCACAACCACTTCAAAAATACAACTAAAAGATGGAACGGACATCATCCAGAACCACAGGCAAGCTGGCTGAGTGGAAGTTCTACAACTATGAGGAAAGAGAAAAGCACACTGAGACTCAGAGGAGGCGCAGTGCTGAAGTAAAATACTAAGGTGCAGAGTGCATGCGGAGCGGGCTGGCAGCTGAGGGCACGGTTGTCATTTTCAATCGGGAGGGAGTCTCAGGCTCTGAGCTCCAGTTCCGGGCGAGTCTCTAGGGACCCAGACACAAACGGAAGAAGCGGGACTGTCTGGCATCGCTCAGAACACTGGGGCAGCTTTCTCTCCGTGGGGCTTGCAGCAATTACTGGGACACTGGGAAGCAGAGCCTCTGAGGGCAAGACTGAGAGCAGCCATAATTGCTAACCCCGCCCTGTTGATCCCCTGGGACCCGCCCGCCCACGCCCTGCAGGGAGACTTTTGCTGGATAGCCTCAGGCAAAG